ATTAAAAAGGGGATAAGAAAAGCTAAACGGGACTATGAAATTAGAGTTGCTAGGGATTCAAAAACTAACCCAAAAAATTTTTTCCAGGTTTACAGAACAAAAATTAGTGATAAGATAGGTCCCCTTAACAATAACTATGGAGTTCTTACTGATAAAGAAAATGAAATGTGCTCTATTTTTAATACATAATTATATTCTCTCAGTTTTTACTTAGGAAGACACTAATAATATCCCAATACTTATTTTTTTTAGTGGGCCTGAAAAAGATAAATTATGTAATACCACAGTCACTAGCAAAATGGTTATCAAACAGATAGACCGTTTGAAGCAAAATCTATTGCCTGGTCCTGATCAGCTTTTTTCAAGAGTTCTTAACCCTTAAACAGTTCAAACATAGATCTACGTTTTTTCAACATTTGAAAGTATGTAAAAAATGTAATTTTTTTTTTTACATTTGAAAACGTAAAAAAAACTTTCATCTACTTTTTTTTTTGTTATATTCGAAAATTACAGGTAGTAGGTTGGTAGACAGCAACCACCCAGGGAAGTACTACCGTCCTGCCAAGTGAGTGTAAAACAAAAGCCTGTGATTGTTTTACATATGGAAGGATTGCTGATGTCTTTCGTCTGTCTCATAAATATGCAAGATTACAGGTATGTCTTGCTACTTCTACTTACACTTAGGTCACACTACACGTACATGTACACATTTATTTATACACACTCATCTGAGTTTTCTTTGATTTTATCTTAATAGTTCTTGGTCTTATTACTTTTCCTTTTATATCCATGGGAAAGTGGAATAAGAATCTTTCCTCCGTAAGCCATGCATGTTGTAAAAGTCAACTAAAATGCCAGGAACAATGGGCTAGTAACCCCTTTTCCTGTAAAGATTACTAAAAAGAATAAGAAGAAGAAAATTGTCAAAGTGGGAAGTCTGAATGTGCGTGGATGTTGTGCAGATGATAAGAAAGAGATGATTGTGGATGTTATGAATGAGAAGAAGCTGGATGTCCTGGCTTTAAATGAAACAAAGCTGAAGGGGTGGGAGAGTTTCAGTGAAGAATAAATGGGATTAGGTCAGGGGTTTCAAACAGAGTTAGAGCTAAAGAAGGAGTAGCAATAATGTTGAAGGATAAGCTATGGCAGGAAAAGAGGGACTATAAATGTATTAATTCAAGGATTATGTGGAGTAAAATAAAGATTGGATGTGAAAAGTGGGTTATAATAAGCGTGTATGCACCTGGAGAAGAGAGAAGTGTAGAGGAGAGAGAGAGAGATTTTGGGAAATGTTGAGTGAATGCGTGGGGAGTTTTGAATCAAGTGTAAGAGTAATGGTGGTTGGGGATTTCAATGCTAAAGTGGGTAAAAATGTTATGGAGGGAGTAGTAGGTAAATTTGGGGTGCCAGGGGTAAATGTAAATGGAGAGCCTTTAATTGAGCTATGTGTAGAGAGAGATTTGGTAATAAGTAATACATATTTTATGAAAAAGAGGATAAATAAATATACAAGGTATGATGTAGCACGTAATGAAAGTAGTTTATTAGATTATGTATTGGTGGATAAAAGGTTGATGGGTAGGCTCCAGGATGTACATGTTTATAGAGGGGCAACTGATATATCGGATCATTATTTAGTTGTAGCTACAGTTAGAGTAAGAGGTAGCTGGGAAAAGAGGAAGGTGGCAACAACAAGTAGGAGGGAAGTGAAAGTGTATAAACTAAGGGAGGAGGAAGTTCGGGTGACATATAAGCGACTATTGGCAGAAAGGTGGGCTAGTGCAAAGATGAGTAGTGGGGGGGTTGAAGAGGGTTGGAATAGTTTTAAAAATGCAGTATTAGAATGTGGGGCAGAAGTTTGTGGTTATAGGAGGGTGGGGGCAGGAGGAAAGAGGAGTGATTGGTGAAATGATGAAGTAAAGGGTGTGATAAAAGAGAGAAAGGTAGCTTATGAGAGGTTTTTACAAAGCAGAAGTGTTATAAGAAGAGCAGAGTATATGGAGAGTAAAAGAAAGGTAAAGAGAGTGGTGAGAGAGTGCAAAAGGAGAGCAGATGATAGAGTGGGAGAGGCACTGTCAAGAAATTTTAATGAAAATAAGAAAAAAATTTGGAGTGAGTTAAACAAGTTAAGAAAGCCTAGGGAAAGTATGGATTTGTCAGTTAAAAACAGAGTAGGGGAGTTAGTAGATGGGGAGATGGAGGTATTAGGTAGATGGCGGGAATATTTTGAGGAACTTTTAAATGTTAAGGAAGAAACAGAGGCAGTAATTTCATGCACTGGTCAGGGAGGTATACCATCTTTTAGGAGTGAAGAAGAGCAGAATATAAGTGTGGGGGAGGTACGTGAGGCATTACGTAAAATGAAAGGGGGTAAAGCAGCTGGAACTGATGGGATCATGACAGAAATGTTAAAAGCAGGGGGGGATATAGTGTTGGAGTGGTTGGTACTTTTGTTTAATAAATGTATGAAAGAGGGGAAGGTACCTAGGGATTGGTGGAGAGCATGTATAGTCCCTTTATATAAAGGGAAAGGGGACAAAAGAGACTGTAAAAATTATAGAGGAATAACTTTACTGAGTATACCAGGAAAAGTGTACGGTAGGGTTATAATTGAAAGAATTAGAGGTAAGACAGAAAGTAGGATTGCGGATGAGCAAGGAGGTTTCAGAGTGGGTAGGGGATGTGTAGATCAAGTGTTTACATTGAAGCATATATGTGAACAGTATTTAGATAAAGGTAGGGAAGTTTTTACTGCATTTATGGATTTAGAAAAGGCATATGATAGAGTGGATAGAGGAGCAATGTGGCAGATGTTGCAAGTATATGGAATAGGTGGCAAGTTATTAAATGCTGTAAAGAGTTTTTATGAGGATAGTGAGGCTCAGGTTAGGGTGTGTAGAAGAGAGGGAGACTACTTCCCCGGGAAAAGTAGGTCTTAGAAAGGGATGTGTAATGTCACCATGGTTGTTTAATATATTTATAGATGGGGTTGTAAAAGAAGTAAATGCTAGGGTGTTTGGGAGAGGGGTGGGATTAAATTATGGGGAATCAAATTCAAAATGGGAATTGACACAGTTACTTTTTGCTGATGATACTGTGCTTATGGGAGATTCTAAAGAAAAATTGCAAAGGTTAGTGGATGAGTTTGGGAATGTGTGTAAAGGTAGAAAGTTGAAAGTGAACATAGAAAAGAGTAAGGTGATCAGGGTGTCAAATGATTTAGATAAAGAAAAATTGGATATCAAATTGGGGAGAAGGAGTATGGAAGAAGTGAATGTTTTCAGATACTTGGGAGTTGACGTGTCGGCGGATGGATTTATGAAGGATGAGGTTAATCATAGAATTGATGAGGGAAAAAAGGTGAGTGGTGCATTGAGGTATAAGTGGAGTCAAAAAACATTATCTATGGAGGCAAAGAAGGGAATGTATGAAAGTATAGTAGTACCAACACTCTTATATGGGTGTGAAGCTTGGGTGGTAAATGCAGCAGCGAGGAGACAGTTGGAGGCAGTGGAGATGTCCTGTTTAAGGGCAATGTGTGGTGTAAATATTATGCAGAAAATTCGGAGTGTGGAAATTAGGAAAAGGTGTGGAGTTAATAAAAGTATTAGCCAGAGGGCAGAAGAGGGGTTGTTGAGGTGGTTTGGTCATTTAGAGAGAATGGATCAAAGTAGAATGACATGGAAAGCACATAAATCTATAGGGGAAGGAAGGCGGGGTAGGGGGTCGTCCTCGAAAGGGTTAGAGAGAGGGGGTAAAGGAGGTTTTGTGGGCAAGGGGCTTGGACTTCCAGCAAGTGTGTGTGAGCGTGTTAGATAGGAGTGAATGGAGACGAATGGTACTTGGGACCTGACGATCTGTTGGAGTGTGAGCAGGGTAATATTTAGTGAAGGGATTCAGGGAAACCTGTTATTTTCATATAGTCGGACTTAAGTCCTGGAAATGGGAAGTACAATGCCTGCACTTTAAAGGAGGGGTTTGGGATATTGGTAGTTTGGAGGGATATGTTGTGTATCTTTATATGTGTATGCTTCTAAACTGTTGTATTCTGAGCACCTCTGCAAAAACAGTGATAATGTGCGAGTGTGGTGAAAGTGTTGAATGATGATGAAAGTATTTTCTTTTTGGGGATTTTCTTTCTTTTTTGGGTCACCCTGCCTCGGTGGGAGACAGCTGACTTGTTGAAAAAAAAAATATATATATATATATATAAAATATGAAATAACTTTTAAAAACATTTGAAATTTTGGAGTTTCCAGACAAAATGGAGACTTAGTGCTTACTGAGCTCACGGAGAATGTAAACAAACAGGGTGGGGCGCGGTGACCGTATTAGAAAGTCATTTGGGGGGAGCCATATAGCGAGATTTGGTCATAATTTGAAATGACCGTATTAGCGGAACGCCGTAAAGTGAAACGCCGTAAAGCGGGGCCCTACTGTATGTGCCATCAGGCCTGGTGCAGTGTTCCTCCTTTCTTATGTTCTTATAACTATACTAGGCAGACTGTTCCACTCATAAACATACAGGAAAAACACTATTAGGCCTGTTGGCCTATAATTGGCAGGTCCTTCACAAATCCAACCCACTAACAGAATAAATGCTATCCAAGCAATAAGCTTTGATAATTCTATTTACTCACGTGCAAGTCCCACTCAAATCGAACCCCTCTCACTCATGCCTTTATCCATTCTAAATTTGAAACTACCCAAGGTTTTAGCTTCAATAGGACCTTGGGTAAAGGGATGGGGATTGTAGTAGCAGGCTTCAATGTGAAAAACATTGTAATGGGCAATTGAGACCTCCACAACACAAAGATACAAGATATGATGAGATTATTTTAAATGATTGTAACAGACAATTCTGGAATTAACAGAATTCTGTAATGAACCACCTACTCATTAAATCTGAAATCAATTTACCCAGCAAACTGTAATAATAATGACCAATTCTGTATTTAATGGACACTGTCCCAACTTCTACCTCCCTTCATCCAGAAGGTTAAAGTTAATTTTTTTTATAACTTGTAAATCAGAATGACTTCCACAAAATTATAAGGTAAACCAGATAAGAAAAAACTCTTCAGACTTACCTGTTTAGAGCTGTCAGCATCTGTGATAAGTCCCTCGGCCCACTGTAGGGAGTTGGAGCCACCAAAGTCACTCCCAGACCGACGCAAAGTTCGAACAACTTCACCAGTCTGTAGCACCAAGCGATCCACTTGCTGCTGTGTTGAACTTAACAAAAAGCCCTAAGAAAAAAAAATTTAATGATATAGTAAATGTATCAGAGCTAAAACTGTAATCTGCAAATGATGAATTGATTGCATCCATCTGAAGTTTGTATGTACTGCAGTGTACAGTAAACAAAATCTTTAGATATGCAAAACACAATTCTAATAAATATATATAAAATGATTAACCAGATACATGGCATATTCAATTTTTTTTATTTGATAATCTGTAAATTTTATACAATCAATTATCAACAGAATATTAATGAGTTAAAAACTGTAAACGAACCTAAGAAGAGCACACACCTGTTGTAATCTAAATGCCTGTCCATTTGAATATTTCATTGGAGATACGTTTCTATACAGCGTGTCTTGAATTCTGCGCATTATATTCTCTGTTCGCTCTGGTGCTGTCTTCATACACAGCATAGCATCATGTACAGGAAATGGCATAAACTTTACGCAGTAATTGCTAGAATTTTAGAAAAAAAAAAAATTTAGTTAAAATAAATCTTCCTCCTTAGAATAGTTCCTATTCCAAGTTAATAAAAGTGAAAATTTAATAAGCATTACGTATTTTCATCTGATTTCTGGGTAATAAATTGAGACTTTCAATCTGTATCAGTAACTTTTAGGTTACTTCTTGAGGAAAGAGTAAGAGGAAATTTAATGTTGCATGGACAATTATAAAATATCAGTAATCTAAAATGCTTAAAAAGAAATTCATATCCAATCTGCTTATCATTTTGGTCTACTGATTATCACTAATATATACAGTAACATATGTAGGAACATCACAGTATAGCATAAATATACAAAACATTATTAAAGTAATAGTATAGCTAACTTAAAAAGTCATCCTGTGTTCTTATATTTCCAAAGTACAAAAGCAATATAGCGTTGCAAGAGCCACATCATATTCAGCAGTTTCAAGAGTTATCAGGTTGTCTGAAGAAATAACTTTTGGAATACTTACCATAGTAATTTTCATCAAATTTAAATTGAAACATTCTCACAAAAAAACAGAGGCACAATAATGTGACTGTGTGGTTAGTTAATGGTCCAATTTGGACCAAAATGTCATCACAAGTTTTAGTCTCCAGACCAAAAAACCCTCTCAACTTTGCCTATTTTAAGTAAAGCATTACTGCTTAAAAATGATTAGCCAGGTGAATATTGTGCCCTTGTAATGTTTCTATTATGAACCACAGGATCAGTAAGGGATATACTTATAAGAGCTGTCAAAGCAATCATGCTGGTTATCAACATTTTACTGTAAGGTGTATAAGCAACATTTTATTTCAAAATGAAGTTAACTGAGGGAAACTACACTTAACTCCTACAGTTGTCCTACCACAATTTCCATTTTCAATACATCACAAATGAAATTTGATCAGGATTTGTAAGAAAGGAACCACTTTATTGTACCATCATGCTTTAAAATGTAAGACTCAGCCATGAAAACTTTTCTGACCTGGGAAAAGTTGGCTGCCGACTCAGGCGGGTAGAAAGTAAACAGCTCACAGTGAATGCTTTGGTGTTATTACCAACTAACATTGACAACAACAATGGCATTTTATTACAATACTATGGCATTTTCTTGCTTATTACCAATTTTTTTTCTATGCATTCATCTTAGGCACATGTTTTGGTATAGGTGTGGCGAGTTTCTACACTTTTTTTTTTTTTTTCAACAAGTTGGTCGTCTCCCACCGAGGCAGGGTGACCCAAAAAAGAAAGAAAATCCCCAAAAAGAAAATACTTTCATCATCATTCAACACTTTCACCACACTCACACATTATCACTGCTTTTGCAGAGGTGCCCAGAATACAACAGTTTAGAAGCATATACGTATAAAGATACACAACATATCCCTCCAAACTGCCAATATCCCAAACCACTCCTTTAAAGTGCAGGCATTGTACTTCCCATTTCCAGGACTCAAGTCCGACTATATGAAAATAACCGGTTTCCCTGAATCCCTTCACTAAATATTACCCTGCTCACACTCCAACAGATCGTCAGGTCCCAATTATCATTCGTCTCCATTCACTCCTATTTAACACGCTCATGCACGCTTGCTGGAAGTCCAAGCCCCTCGCCCACAAAACCTCCTTTACCCCCTCTTTCGAACCCTTTCGAGGACGACCCCTACCCCTCTTTCCTTCCCCTATAGATTTATATGCTTTCCATGTCATTCTACTTTGATCCATTCTCTCTAAATGACCAAACCACCTCAACAACCCCTCTTCTGCCCTCTGACTAATGCTTTTATTAACTCCACACCTTCTCCTAATTTCCACACTCCGAATTTTCTGCATAATATTTACACCACACATTGCCCTTAAACAGGACATCTCCACTGCCTCCAACCGTCTCCTCGCTGCTGCATTTACCACCCAAGCTTCACATCCATATAAGAGTGTTGGTACTACTATACTTTCATACATTCCCTTCTTTGCCTCCATAGATAAAGTTTTTTGACTCCACATATACCTCAACGCACCACTCACCTTTTTTCCCTCATCAATTCTATGATTAACCTCATCCTTCATAAATCCATCCGCCGACACGTCAACTCCCAAGTATCTGAAAACATTCACTTCTTCCATACTCCTCCTCCCCAATTTGATATCCAATTTTTCTTTATTTTTTTTTTTATTATCACACTGGCCGATTCCCACCAAGGCAGGGTGGCCCGAAAAAGAAAAACTTTCACCATCATTCACTCCATCACTGTCTTGCCAGAAGGGTGCTTTACACTACAGTTTTTAAACTGCAACATTAACACCCCTCCTTCAGAGTGCAGGCACTGTACTTCCCATCTCCAGGACTCAAGTCCGGCCTGCCGGTTTCCCTGAATCCCTTCATAAATGTTACTTTGCTCACACTCCAACAGCACGTCAAGTATTAAAAACCATTTGTCTCCATTCACTCCTATCAAACACGCTCATGCATGCCTCCTGGAAGTCCAAGCCCCTCGCTTGGACTTTATCTAAATCATTTGATACCCTCATCACCTTACTCTTTTCTATGTTCACTTTCAACTTTCTACCTTTACACACATTCTCAAACTCATCCACTAACCTTTGCAATTTTTCTTTAGAATCTCCCATAAGCACAGTATCATCAGCAAAAAGTAACTGTGTCAATTCCCATTTTGAATTTGATTCCCCATAATTTAATCCTACCCCTCTCCCGAACACCCTAGCATTTACTTCTTTTACAACCCCATCTATAAATATATTAAACAACAATGGTGACATTACAAATCCCTGTCTAAGACCTACTTTTACCGGGAAGTATTCTCCCTCTCTTCTACACACCCTAACCTGAGCCTCACTATCCTCATAAAAGCTCTTTACAGCATTTAGTAACTTAACACCTATTCCATAAACTTGCAACATCTGCCACATTGCTCCTCTATCCACTCTATCATATGCCTTTTCTAAATCCATAAATGCAATAAAAACTTCCCTACATATGGTACATATGGTACAATTTGCCTGAGAAGCTGCTAGGTATAAGTCAGTAAGCCTGCTGCAGTGCTCCTCTGTTCCAATGGGAACAAATACAAGGGAGATAAATATAAATGTAGTTCATGCTTACTAATGTTTATTCCACATGTTCAAAACATTGCATTGTATTGCTGACACTGAACTCCAACCAATCCTAGGAAACTAACAGAACACATAGGTATCACACTAGAAACCAACGTCTCCGACAGCCCTCGTGCTTGATTGAGCATCTGCAGAAATTCTATGAAAATTCAAGGACCAAGTATGTGGAATAACTTAACACATGAACTGAAAAATTGCAACAATCTTACTAAATTCAAAACTAAACTAAAACACTTTAATCAAATCAATTACCTCATCTATTTGTAAATGCCCTTTACCATTTTGCTTTGTCCGTAAGAGTACTGATGCTACAGTACACTGTACTGAGCTTCTTAAATTGAATTACTAATATTTTATTCCTAGGAACATATTTATTTTGCCCCAAAAATTAACAAAAACAGGTGATGAATGATCCACACATCTAAAAAACTACTCTGTATATTAGCCTGTAAGTGTTGTGCATTAAATGTTAACTTACCTTTGTAATGCATAGGCAATATCACTATAACCTTGTAATGTTACATTATTTCTATCATAGCTTATATACTGTAGTTTTGAGTTTATCTGAAGAGCTTTAGCAAGAAGTCGTGCACCACTGTCACCCATGTAATTGCCACTGAAAGTCAAAAATCACACAATTATTTCATTACTTTTTAACAACAATTATAACCTTACAATGTGTAAGGCTCTTAAATATAATATGGATTATACTTATTACAAAGAATATCACAATCACTGAAAACTTTCTGGCCATCATACATTGTTAAAATGGTAACACACAGTAATTTAACAGTTTTAGTACTCAGAACCAAGACAGGTGAATATTTCTTTTTGGATCCCACTATCTTAACAGAAACAGCCAGTGTGGTATTTAAAAAAATATTATGCATACTGTAACATCATTTAACAATTATTAAAGACTAGTATCAACATCAGTCCATCAAAAGACTCATAAATAGCTGGTCTCCTAAACATGTACAATTGTTTATTAATTTTTTTCTTCAACGAATCGTCCATCTCCCACTGAGGTAGAGTACAGGCACTGTACTTCTCACCTCCAAGACTCGAATCCAACCAACCAGTTTCCCTGAATCCCTTCATAAATGTTACCTTGCTCACAGTCCAATAGAACATCACCCTAAAAGCCATTTGCCTCCACTCACTCCTATCTAACATGCTCACACACACACTTGTTAGATGTCTAAGCCCCTCTGCACACAAAACATCCTCTACCCAATCCCTCCAACCTTTCCTAAGACATCCTGTACCTGACCTTCCCTCCACTACAGTTATATACCTTCCAAATCATCCTATTTTGTTCACTCTTCTCTAAACGTCTAAACCACCTTAACAACCCCTCTTTAGCCCTCTGGGTAGCATTTTTAGTAACCCTTGCATCTTCTAATTTCCAAGCTATGAATTCTCTACCTAATATTCACACCACACATTGCTCTCAGACACAATATCTCCACTGCCTCCAGCATCCTCCTCGCTGCAACATTCAGGACCCATGCTTCAAACCCATATAAGACGTTGGTACTACTGTACTCTCGTATATTTCCCTTTTTGCTCCTATGGATAATGTCTCCACAGACTCCCCAGTGCACCACTCGCCTTTTTTCCCTTGTCAGTTGAATGGTTCACCACATTTTTCATAGATCCATCTGCTAACAAATCCACTCCTAAATTTTAAGACATTTACTTCCTCCATACTCCCTCCCTCCAATCTGATATCTAATCTTACATTACCCAAATTTTTTGTTACCCCTCATTACTTTGCTCTTTCCAACGTTCACTTTTAATTTCCTTCTTTTGCATACCCTCCCAAATTTGCCCCCAAACCTTTTGAACTTCTCTACAGAGTGTCCCAAAAGCACAGCATCATCAGCAAGAAAGTAACTGTGATAACTTACACTTTGTTAGATTCTTTATCTTCCAATCCCTTACCTCTCCCCAATACCCAATCATTAGTATCATCAATAATCGAGCATACAAAAATTAATGAGAGAAGTGAATCTTCACTTCTCATCTGGACACACAATGGTTTCATTACCACAGACAATAAAACTGATCATTGCTCCACTTTCCTAGTCTCCAATGTAACAAAATTATGATGTGAAACTAGTAAAATCTTTCAGGTTCAATGACAAGTCATTTGTGAATAACTATGGCAGTAATCACTAACACAAAGAGAATTTAGCAATATGAAGAAGATATTACTTCATGAACATTGTTAAATTCTCTCTCCCAGTCAGTGTTAGTGATTACTGTCAAAGCCTCTACAATAAACATTACTCTACAAAATCCAGACAGGCTACAGCAAGACTAAACAATACAGAAAACCAACAGCGTCCTCGGATCCAATGATAAAAAGCATAACCATGAGAAATAGCACAGAATGGGATTGATACCCAAAGAACTGCTATTAAACCTTCCAGCTTTCACCAGATCCTGGCTACAATTGCTTCCAATTTTCACCATTCCTTGGCTGTTATGCTGTCCAGTTTATGCCATATTCAAACAAATCCCTCCAGCTTTCACCATTTTCCTGTAGCTATTATATTCCAGCTTTCCCAATTTTCCTGCTACAACTGCCTTACAGTGTTTAGTTAAGCCTTTGACTGTTTACGCCGTATAAATACGTCTTACATGCCACTGTTTCTGACGTATATACAGTGGACCCCCGGTTAACAATATTTTTTCAATCCAGAAGTATGTTCAGGTGCTAGTACTGACCGAATTTATTCCCATAAGGAATATTGTGAAGTAGATTAGTCCATTTCAGACCCCCAAACATACACGTACAAACGCACTTACATAAATACACTTACATAATTGGTCGTATACTCAATAATTCTAGCGGCTTCAAATCAAGCGGGAGAAAGCTGGTAGGCCCACATGTGAGAGAATGGGCCTGTGTGGTCAGTGTGAACCACATAAAAAAAATCCTGCAGCACACAGTGCGTAATGAGAAAAAAAAAAAACGATAGTTTTCTTGGATTAAAACGCCGACTTTGAGGTGTATTTTCGTATAGTATTTATTGCTGTATTCACGTTTTCATGGTCTTAGGTGATAAAATGGAAAGCATATTACAGAAATAGAGATGATTTTCATTACTTTGACGATGAAAACGACCTTGAAACTGAGCTCAAAGTAGCGGAAATGTTAGATTTTTACCAATGTTCAGGAGTAAACAAATCACACCACACATCCAATACACGTCAACTGGGGAGTCTAATATTCTTTCACTAGTGCAATGATATTATTTATACCATTTTTACAATAATGCAGTACTCTGCATAACAGTAAATTTTGTATTTTTTTGTATGAATAAAAAATCAAAATAGAAAGCAATAATAATATAAGAGGGGCCTAGAGATGTGACTAATGAACAGAGGATATGTTATTTTAGTGCCAAGAATGTCTACCTTGTTTATTCTGGACCCTATTTTGAAACTGGCATCTTTTTTAATTTGCGTGAAATTGGCCAAAATGCCAATTTCTGACCACTATATTGGGTAGTTCGAATTGGTAAATGGGCAGTTTCTTGTACTCAGCTGATAGATAAAATGGAGTTCTAAAGAAATAGCTATGAGTTTGGTCAACTGGAACAACGGAATTGGCTGAAAACAGGGCTCAAAGTCGGCGAAATTGCCGATATGCGTATGTCGCTGAGACTGCTAACTTTGCGAGAGCGTAATTCCTTGAGTTTTCAACCAAATTTCGAACTTTTGGTGTCATTACCATCAGGAAAAGATTCTCTATCATTTCATAAGAAAAATTTTTTTTTTTTTTTTTCAAAAATTTATCGACATAGAATGACAGTTTCAGAAAGGGGCCTGCGACAGTCAAAGGGTTAACACTGTGTAAGCTAGACCTTATTTGATTTTCATTACTTGCAATTAGCCATGCATTTTGCTTACTTTACAAATTTATTTTACATTACTCCCTAATATCCAACACAGAAAATACTTAAAGATGCAACTTACCTAATATCTAGACTCTGAAGGCAGTGATTACTGCCTAGAGCATTGAGGAGGTTGTGCAGGTCTGTTTTAAGTCTGGAGTCATTTATGGAGAGGGATTCTAAAACACAATCTTCTTCCTAGAAAAAAAAGCATTATTAAACAAGTTGATGCCCTCTTGCACACAACACTATCCAACCCTTGCCTCTCTTCACAACACACTTGTAACATCTCTCCTCCCACTCAACCACCAACACTCCCCTACACCCAAGCCACCCACAACCTCCCCTTCATGAAGATGAAATTAAACAGTTCGTATCAAAAGTGAATACAAAACAAAATAATAAAAGAATGGTTCTAGTTATAAAATAATGATTTTAAATCAGTATATGAAGCAGCACATTCAAGAAACCTAGAGATTCAAGTAGACCAGAAATGAATATACAAATGGAAAGAGAGAGGAAGACGAAAACTTTCAAAATGCAATAGTGGACAAGGGTATTGAACCAAATCTTTCCAAGTCGTTTAATGTAAACTAAATGTTTAAGGCACAATACTAAGAATAATGGAGGGTGGCAAAATCACTGAAGTAGAGGATGAAATGTGTTAAGTATCAAGCCTTTCCATACCATGATCCATAAAAACAAAAGTGCTAATAATGTTTGTGATACATGGAGTTTACCTGAAGTGTGTTTCGGGGGTCAATGCCACCATGGCATAAGCCGACATATGAACAACAGCCTGGCTGATCAGGTACCGACTTTAGGTTCATGTCCAGCGCCTTTTTGAAGACAGATAGGGGTCTATTTGTAATCCCCCCTATGTATGCTGGGAGGCAGTTGAACAGTTTTGGGCCCCTGACATGTGTTGTCTCTTAGTGTACTCGTGGCCCTCCTGCTTCTCACTGAGGGAATGTTGCATCGAAGCCGGTTCTTTTGCTTTTGTAGAGAGTGATTTTCATGTGCAAGTTTGGTACTAATCCCTTTAGGATTTTCCAAGTGTATACAGTGGACCCCCGACCAACAGCGGCATCGACTAATGCCAAATTCGTCTAACGGTGCTCTTTGGCGTAAAAAAAATGGCTCTACCAATGGCGAAAAACTCATCTAACAGCTTTCGTCCCGAACGTGTCCATGCAGCCGGAGTGCGGCCTGAGCAAGCCCAGCCACTCCAAGACTCAGTGTACCACTGTTTACAAGCCGTTGTGGCGATTCCAAGAGTACCCGAGATATATTTTGTATTATTCCAATGTTTTTTGTGCTTGTAACTGATAAATAAGCCACCATTGGCCCCAAGAAAGCTTCTAGTGCCAAGCCTGTGGTAAATAGGGTGAGAATTACTATGGAAATGAAGAAAGAGATCAATGAAAAATATGAAAGTGGAGTGTGTATGTCCGAGTTGGAAAGGTTATATAACAAACCCCATTCAACCATCACTATTATCTTGGCGAACAGAAAGGCAATCAAGGAAGCTGTTGTTGCAAAAGGTGCAAGTATGTTTACAAATTAGAGATTGCAAATAATTAAAGAGGTGGAGAAACTGTTGTTGGTGTGGATAAACGAAAAACAATTATTAGGAGATTGTGTTTGTCAGTCAATAATATGTGAGAAGGCAAGGCAGTTGCATGATGATCTCATTAAGAAAATGCCTCCAAATAGTGATGGTATTGATGAATTTAAGGCCAGCAAAGGCTGGTTTGAGAGATTTAAGAATCGTAGTGGCATACACAGTGTGGTAAGGCACAGCGAGACTGCCAGTTCAGACAACGAAGCGGCTGAAAAATATGTGCAGGACTTTAAGGAGTACACAGACACTGAAAACTTAAAACCTGAACAAGTGTTTAATTGTGACAAAACAGGCCTGTTTTGGAAGAAAATGCCAAAGAGGACCTACATTACTCAGGAGGAAAAGGCACTCCCAGGACATAAGCCTATGAAAGACAGGTTGACATTAATGTTGTGTAGTAATGCTAGTGGTGATTGCAAAGTGAAGCCTTTATTGGTGTATCACTCAAACTCCCAGTGTGTTCAAGAAAAAAACAATATCTTCAAGGGTAATTTGTGTGTGCTGTGGAGATCAAACACTAAGGCATGGGTCACTAGGGAAATTTTCATGGATGGTTTTATGGTGTGTTTGGCCCCACTGTGAAAAATTACCTCCTGTAAAAGAAATTGTCACTCAAGTGCCTCCTGGTAATGGACAACGTTCCTGCTCATCCTCACGACTTGCAAGAGCAAATTGCTGGGGAGTTTGGGTTCGTTAAAATTAAAGTTTTTGCCTCCTAATACAACTCCTCTCCTCCAGCCCATGGACCAGCAGGTCATTTCAAACTTCAAAAAACTTTACACAAAAGCGTGTTTCAAAAGTGCTTTGAAGTGACCTCAGACACTGAATTGACCCTAAGAGAGTTTTGGAAAGATCACTTCAATTTCCTCAGTTGCATAAACCTTATAGGTAAGGCTTGGGAAGGAGTGACTTGCAGGACTTTTGAACTCTGCTTGGAGGAAACTGTGGCCACAATGTTTTACAAGAGAGGGATTTTGAAGGGTTTGGGGCTAACCCTCAGGAGCCTATGCCAGTTGTGGAAGCTATTTTGTCATTGGGGAATTCCATGGGGTTGGAGGTTTGTGGCGAGGATGTGGAAAAGTTGGTGCAGAATGACGATGAAGAACAAAAACCACTGCAGACCTACAAGACCTTGAGGTGCAACAGCAACAGATCACAGCTCGGCAATGTGCTTCGGGAGCAGGAGGGAGGGGAGAGAGAGGAAGTTGCCTTCATCAGGGATTAAGGAAATGTGTACAATGTTTACAAAGGTGCAAACATTTATGGATGAATTTTTCCGGGTCACAGCTTTTTGCAAGCCATATTGGCAACATGTACAATGACACTCTTGTGTCCCATTTGGGGAAACCCTAAGGGCACGTGGAAACAGACTCTCTGGACAGATATTTTGTGCAACAGGGGTCCAGCGACTCAACTGGTCCTAGTGCATTAAAAAAACAAGAAGGGAGGTAACCCCACCAAAGGACTTGGTACCTGAAGTCCTTATGGAAGGGGATTCCCTTCCAAACAATGAAAACCTGAATCTCCCCTGCTGGGTGGCCCCAATCACTCAAAAACAACTCACAATAAAGGTAATGACATTTAATTACTGTTATTTTTTTCATGTAACATTCGTTACTGTGTAGGGAAATGTATATTTCATGTAAAAAAAAAATTTTGTTTAATACTTTTGGGTGTTTGGAACGGATTAATTCTATTTCCATTATTTCTTATGGGGAAAATTAATTCGACTAAAGGCTAGCTCTCTGGAACTGATTAAAGCCCTTGGTCGAGGGTCCACTGCATTATCATGTATCTTTCTCGCCTGCATTCTAGGGAATAATAATCAAGGAAGGGACTTCAACCTTTCCCAGGAATTTAGGTGCTTTATTGTGCTTACGCATGCTGCGAAAGTTCTCTGTACATTCTCCAGGTCAGTAATTTCGCATACCTTGAAGGTGACAGTTAGTGTACAGCAGTATTCCCGCCTAGAGAGAACAAGCAATTTGAAGAGAATCATAATGGACTTGGCGTCCCTAGTTTCGAAGGTTCTCAGTATCCATCCTATCATTTTTCTAGCAGATGAGACAGATACTTTGTTGTGGTCTTTGAAGGCGAGATCCTCTGACATTATCACTCCCAGATCTTTCAAATTAGTTTTCCACTCTATTGTGTGGTTAGAGTTTGTTTTATACTCTGATAAGTTTTAATTTCCTTAAAAGTTTTCCATATCTGAGTAGTTGAAGTTTCTCTTAATTGAACTTCATATTGTTTTTTGTGGCCCATTTAAAGATTTGGTTGATGTCCGCTTGGAGTCTTGCAGTGTCTTTGATGGAGGACACTGTCTTGGCAATTCGAGTGTCATCCACAAAAGTAGACATGGCTTACATCTCTGTATGTCAAATATGAAGATGAGGAACAGGATGGGAGCAAGTACTGTGCCTTATGGAACAGAGCTCTTCACTGTAGCCGCACCAGACTTTACTCTGTTTACTACGGCATTTTGTGTTCTGTTTGTTACGAAGTTATAGATCCATCTACTAACTTTTCCTGTTATTCCTTTGTCACACATTTTGTGCACTATTACACCATAGTTGCACTTGTCAAAGGCTTTCGCAAAGTCTGTGTATACTATATCTGCATTTTGTTTTATCCTCTAAAGTATCCAGGACCTTGTCATAGTGGTCCAATAGCTGGGACAGACAGGAGTGATCTGCTCTAAACCCGTGTTGCCTTGGGTTGTGTAACTGATGGGTATCTAGGTGGTTGGTGATCTTACTTCTTAGAACCCTTTCAAGATTTTTATGATATGGGATGTTAGCGCTATTGGTCTGTAGTTCTTCGCAATTGCTTTACTCCCACCTTTGAGGAGTGGGGGATATGTCTTTTGTTTTTAGTGACTGTGGGATGACTTTTGTCCATGCTCCCTCTCCATAGAATGCTGATGCTATATGACAGGGGTTTCTTTCAGTTCTTGATGAGCATGGAGTTCCATGAGTCTGGGCCTGGGGCAGAGTGCATAGGAATGTCATTAACTGCCTTTTCGAAGTCTTGTGGTGTTAGGATAAGAGATTTTTTAAGTGACCAAATTTTGAGTCTCGGTCATAAAAATCCATTTAGACTGTCAACCCTTAGTCTGGTTAACGGCTCACTGAACACCGAGTAATATTGGGACTTTAGTATCTCACTCATTTTTTTTATGTCATCTGTGTAGGTCCCATCTCGTCTAAGCAGAGGCCCAATACTGGATGCTGTTTTTTCCTTAGATTTGGCATAAGAGAAGTAGAATTACGAGTTTCCTTCAATTTCATTGATGACTAAGTTCTTCCTGAGAGTCTTGTCTCCTGCAAGGTTCCTTAAGCTTAAGTTAGATATTTGCGATTTCTGTGACCAATACCTCCCTTCGTATTTCAGATATACTGGCCCCTCTCAGCAGTTCTGATTCCTCGCTTTCACCTGTATAGGGAGCATCTTTCTTTCTAGTTTACATCTTCTTTCTTTCTCTTAATGGATTGTGCCTTGAGCAGCCCTCAAGTGCCACAGAATTATTTTTTTCTAGGCAAAGGTTCGGATCCGTGTTGATTAGGATATCTTC